TTATGAATACAAAGTACTACCTAAAAAAACCCTTCATGTTCCCCTAGTCATGCATACAGAACTACCGCACTCGTACAAGCTCAGACCTGCAGCGTCAGGGTGTGTATGTGTGTGTGTGAGCTCTTTAAACTTCATAAGTAGGAAGACAGACAGGACTGGTTCTCGGCTCTTTTCATTTCACGTTTCCCCAGAGTGACACAACAAAAAGGAGGAGAAAACAGAAAGCTGGATCACAGTAAAAATATCGTTAAAAGAAAAAATCTGTAGCAGCTGATTTTATTTTCCTGGCTGTGTCACGGAAAGCACAGAAAAACAAGAGCGGCTGCTGCTTTTGGAACAATCGTTCCTTTTAAAAAGATTAAAGATTTCATCAGGATTATGGAGATTTTCTAAAAAACATTTTACAGTCAGGCTCACTACTGTAATGGTCCAGAATGCCTTAACTTTAACTGAGTTGCTTTTTGAGACCTTTTCTTCAGATAAAGACACCAATTTGAACAATGTTGGCTCTTATTAGACTCAGTGTGTACATGTTGCAGCACTGAAACATGATATCAAACAGCAGCACCGGTGCTACAATCTGGATTTTGCTCCCAACACTAATTTGTGGCTTCCACATTTGATCACTTTATGGCCACAAACTTTAATTTTCAATCATGTTATGGAACAGGGGTTACAAATTGGAGACGCTTTTTCACAATCACTGTGTCCTTATAACCACCACTGTCCCTAATAACTTCAATAAAGTTTTACATTCATGCTGATTTTTGCAGTTTCTGTCTCAGTCAGTTAACTAACATGCTGCTGCTGTCATTTTACACATCTGTTGCTGCTGTTTTAAAATATCCATTACTGTAAAAATGTCCACTACTGTTTATTGATTATTTACTCTCCAGATACAGAGCATTTATACTGTAAACACTGTACAGGGCAGTACTTATTTGTTTATTTTTTTTAACTCTGTCACTTATTCTGTTATTTTTATAAACTTTCTAAGGTCCACACCTTTTACTGCTGTAAGACCACAATTACCCCATTGTGGGACAATAAAGGGATTTTCTATTCTATTTTATTATGATTCCTGAGGTATATTGAGAACCAAAATATATGATGAAATAGATAAATGTAATTGTAAAGTGAAATAGGTAGATTTATTTATCTAATACACAATTCAGTTATCAAATATACAGCTAAAGTGTAAAATGAAGCATTCAATGATTAGAAATACACTTAAACTGGTGAATTGAATAATTCAATGTGATTTTTAGAGAACACATTTATTTAAAAATTAAAACAATGATTTGGCTTTATGCTATACACAATTATAGAGGGAAATAATAGGTCACCAAAGCAGATACTGATTAATTTGACCTCAGTCTAAGTGATCCCTGATATGCACTACCGTTTTTTTCTTTTTTTTAATAATAATAATTGAACTTTATTGATCTCACACTGTAGAAATGTAACTCTTTATTTAACCCATCCCTTTGGGGAGCAGTGGGCTGCCATTGTGTGGCGCCCAGGAAGCAGCGTGGGGTTAAGGGTCTTGCTCAGTGACCCAGAGTCGAGGCAGTGGGTGCACTGCTCTAATCACTAGGCCAACACTCATAGGCCGATTTTTGAAGCCTATATTTAGAGATTCCCGTATCCCAAACCTGGATTGGTGGTCTGCTCCGATATTCACTAACTAGCTGGATTGGATATTGGTGATTTTATATATTGGATATCTGAGATCCAATCCAGTGCACTTTACATGGAACTGTTAATTCTTCGTTTTTGCTGCTTATTTGTTAATAAATGATAAAAAAAAAAAAAAGTACATTTATAACTCTGTTAATTTGTTACCTTTTTTTTAACTATGTTTATGTAAAGGTGTATGCCTTCACTCACATGGTAAGATATTCAAGAGTTGAATGGAAACTATCCGATATTGAACATAACAGTGTCCGATTTGATCATAAATATTGGGTCGCTGCATCTCTACTTATATTGCTTTTTCTTCCTGGATTTATGTGATAGAAATTACACAATGAAAACAAATGTTACACAAGTCTCAACTTCAAAAAAAGGAAACACTTTTTAACAACTCAAACTAAACATTAACAATTGATGGCAAATGGTGGGAGCGGCGAACAGATGCGCTTCAAGGCATGGCTGCTCAAAAGGCATGAATATATTGCCTGATAAAAGTGCAAATATCAGACAAAATTATTGTTCGGCTGATCTTAAGTCGCATGCTGAAATACTTAAGAAATAAAAACAAATAAAAAAAAAGCAATCCCACAGCATAATACTGGCTCTACCATGCTTCACGATAAAGGTAGTGAATCCGGCTGATGAACAGTGTTACTTTTCCACCACACACTTCGTAAATATCTCCTTATCTGGTGTTTTTTTTGATCTGATGAATTGACCTTAGCTAACAATTTAACCCTGATCTGTCTGGAATGTTCATCTTTCTTCATGAAACTTTTCTTGCTGCCATGTTCTTCAATAAACCTCTAACAACTGAAGAATTTACTAGATTTTATCCAAGATTTTTTATTTGTAAAATCTTTGAAAACCATTATCTATTTCTCTTGCTGTTCGAATAATGCTCTTCTATGTGAAAAAAGTTACATTTGCAGGCTACTGTTGGGTTATGAAGTGGGTATTAGACAAAAAAAAAGCTGGCATACGTAAACTACCATGCTTTCGAAAAAGTCTCATTATGTCAGAGAAAAATAAATCAAGCCAAAATTTAACATAATATTTTGATGAAATGATTGACATTTATTACAATTTTGACTTATTTGCAGCCTCATTAACATTGGTCATTAATTGAATTGTAACTATGGTATTGTACATGCTCCTGTGATCTAGTGAAACACCCACATCGGTTTCCTTTGGCTTTCGTGGAATTTTCCAAATACCTTTTTCTCAAGAACATGGGAAAGTACAGCAGCAGAGGAGAAACAAGGAAGCGTCTGGATGGGTTCTGCTTCTTTTCCTGAACTTCTGTCTGAGTCATCCGTCAACACTTCAGTGAGATTTGAGCAGCAGATTGGACATTTGTTTATTCAGATTTAATTTACTCTTAAAAAAGTCTGTATTCACACAAATATGTAAGCAGAGTGCACAGAAAAGGAAAGTGGAAACAACTGCTGAGGATCAAGAGAGCAAACTGGCAGCAGAAATAAAAGATCAGGGAGAAATATTACAAAGCAGTGTGATCTGCAAGTCTTTTTACAGGGAAACTTGAGGAAAGTGCATGGTGTCCCACGTTATCCCCCCAATGGATCCTACAGCAGGACGGTCTTGGACGTGGACCAGTAGAGCTGGGAGGGATAAGGCTGAACATCTGGCAGGTATATTGGCTCCATTCCTGCTGCCTCTTTGTAAGCCTGGCCACCATGCTGCAATTTCTGCAGCCTATAGTGACACAGTTTATAACTGCACCCAACACCATATATATATATATATATATATATATATATATATATATATATATATATATATATATATATATATATATATATATATGCTGCAACCATCTCCCACATCTGTATCTGCTCGCTGTCACAATGAATGAGTCCCACCAGATTAACCTACTAGACACAATCTCTAGCAAAATCAATTTTAATTAGATTTTATATTTAAGCATCATTGGATCCCCTCTGTCTGCCCTTCTTCTGATAAATACTGAGCTCATTAACTCATTCAAACAACAGACAATGGATAAAATCGAAGCCTTAAAGGCATTCCACTAAAGAACATGATGCTTTTTTTTCTTATAAGAAATGCTCATCCAAGGCCTGAAAATCAGATGAATAACATGCATAAAAAGGCAGAGGGACAGAGGAAAACGCCATCTTATTGATGCACATGTGGTCATCCTTTCATTCTCCTTGTTGAATGCACAAACAAGCGCGATTGATTTTTAATCAAAGCAACAAAAAAAGGTGTGCCATTTTACGCTCACCGCCGTGATGTACCCTGTGATCAGGAGCCTTACCTGAATCTGGGCGAATCTTTTATACATTCTTCAAAGTCCACCGTCATTTTTACTGTTGTGATGTTGTATTTCCACTTCAATCTGTCATTGCCCGCGGAGGGATGTGGCTCTGACCGTAAAGGATGGTGACGGGTATATCCCCCTGACGCGCAGCAGCAGCAGCAGCAGTGTGTCACCTCTCTCCCGGTGCCACCGTGACACAAAATGCGAGGCTGTGCGCGGCGCGGCGTAGGCGGAGATAATACTACCACATTCCTGCTGCTGCCGCTGCCCAGGAGGGAAGGAGGCGTAGCTGCAAAACCAGAGCCTGAAAAAGAGGGAAGAGCGCCCAACAAATACAGCGCACCATAACAGGAAGGTGGTAATAATAATAATAATAATAATAATAATAATAATAATAATAATAATAATAATAGTGATGATAATATTAATAGCAATAATAACAACAATAATTGTAATAATAGTAGTAATAATAATAACAATAATAATAAATAATTGTATTAAATAAAAATAATAATAATAGTAATAATAAACAATAGTAATAGATAATGATAATTATAACAATAATAATAATTATAATAAATAATAATAGTTATAATAGCAACAACAATAGTAATAACAATAATTGTAATAATAAAAAATAGTACTAAATAATAACAATAACAATAAATAATAAATGAATAATAATAGGAAGAAGAAGAAAAATAGTGATGATGAATTAGAAATAATAAAAAATATAACACGTTTACGTCATAATGCCCTTTTTCTGCACTAATTTATCAGCTTTTAATGTTTCTGCATCTTAAACATTATATAAAATCCTATACTCAACAATTGCATGAATAAAATCCCCTCTAAATTGATCAAAATAAATGAATTTGAAATCTTTCGTCTCACAAGACTCTTTTGAAGGAGTCGCTTTGGTTACTTTTGGGTGACATATCTCTCACGTTATGCTCTCTGGTCTCACAATGAAGGGTGAGTTGATACGCCCATACGCCCCTGCTCCTTTATTATGACGTAATAAATGAGCGACCGACAGGAGTGTTGTAACGGAGAAGCATTTGTTTTTATTTACCTCGGGGTGGTTTTATGCTTTTGTTTAGAGTGAGGTTATATTTGAATAGGTTTGGCTACTATATATACATTCATTTTGGATTACGTGCTGAAACCCCGATGTAAAAACTTTAAATGTTACGCTATCCCTTCGCAGCTAGCCGAGATGTTAGCATGTAGTTCTATATATGGCCATTATTACTGCTATAGAGTTTTCATGTGACACGAACCGTTTCTGTCATGTATTTTACTAACCTAATTGTTTGAATCTTTCATATACCTAACCGCGTCTTTTAAGTTATTCCCTTCAAAGGGGCTGTAAGCGACACGGGAAAAGTACTTCCGGACTACAAATACGGTTCTGACACATTTCTAGCAAACCGCGTGTGCGCCTAAGCAGAGGACTATTACAAAGTCAGTCCTTACTTTGTGCTTGTAAAGATTACAATGTTCACAAAAGAGTAAGTGCGTGTTTACTGCATCGCCTCACGTTTAATAACAAGTAGTAAATTATGAACTAAGATTTCTAAAGACACAATGCAAAACTTGGCACGTTATCTCATCTTTTTTCAGTACATTGGGACAAAATACAGGTAAGTGTTTGCAGTGTAACTGGTCAGTTATTCACTACGTCTTTTTAATCATTTTATTTTTTTCAGAGGTGTTGTAAAAGTCCCTTCAAGTCAGCTGGGTAAGAAAGGGGTTCAGGATCACTTGGAGGTAATTTTATTTTATTTATTTTTTTACTGTATCAAGTACTTTAAAAACATGATAAGTGCTGTGTTACAAAACAAACATAAGACCTAAACACAGGCTAGAAAATAAAAAAGGCTCACAAACAATTAAGGGCAGGAAAAGTAAATGAGAATAGGTCACACAAAGTCGAAAAGAGTGAGGATGTGTTTTTCTAATGAGGTTTAACAACAAGAAATGGAGAGATCTTCCTAAATCCCTAAGCACTGCAGTTAACATGATTGTAATATGTACTTAGTTTTAACAGCAAGGGTTGTTTTTTCAGTCTTTTTTTTTTTTTTTTTTTGAGGAAGTAAGAGAAAAATTAAGATGATTATAATTTTTTGTTTCAAACTTGTGCATGTTGGCCTACACTGTGATAATAAATATATATTTTTTAGACTTAGACTCAGCTTTATTTATACCTTGGAAAAACTCCTTCAGGGAAATAGTGGTTCCAGTAGCTTATAAATGCTACAACGAGTTAAAGTAAGATGCATTAAATATAAAAAATAGGACAGGTCATATACAAAGAGTGTCTATGGTACAAAAAAGCATTAAAAACCAAAAACGTTGTAATATCTAGGAATATGTTTCCCTTAGATAAAAAAAAAAAAAAAATCTGCACCAGAGAGTTAAGGAAAGACCACACAGTAGTTGCCATAACCTGGGTTATGGCACTTGCACTGCAGAGATGTACTGACCTTATAAAATAAGTTGAAAAATTACACAGGCTACACAGTAGTTGGAATAGAGAAAGGAGAAGAATATTGAACATGAATGACAATAGGTAACGTTTTGCATAATATGTCCAAGGAGGGGGGTGCTGATCCTCGTCCCTCTTCCTGTTTTGTCAAAATTTTATTTTCTGTTTATTCCTTGTAGCTGAACATTGCAGATTAATAAGCAGAACATCCTTAATAAACAAGCGAAGGGAAAAAAGAAGAGCCAGACATAAAATGTCTGATCTTTTTGTATTTTTTTTCTGACTGCATCCAGGAAGCAATTCATAGACTCAGGCCAAACAACGCGGTGTCTCTGTCGGTGTCCAGCAGGACAGATACGGGCGTCCATGCCCTTTCCAACTCCGCTCACTTCGATCTTGTGCGGAAAAACGACAAGCCTCCGTTTACTGAGGATGTTTTGGTTCAAGCTCTCAATTTCCACCTAAACGCTGAGGATATCAGGTGAGTCAGGCTTCATGGGAAGAGTTGTGAACTTAAAACTGTTAAGTGCTAAAGGTTAGCACAACATCGAATCAAAATTGGATTGAACTTGGAGCATGCTTTCTCATCAGAATCCTTGATTCTGTTAGTGTAATAAGTGTGCAAATAAATGCAAAACGGATAACCAAAAAACAAAACGATTTGACAATATCTAAGGTTGTTTTAGGTATCACTCTCTTAATAATCTCTAAGTAATCTAGAAATCTAAACTTAAAAATAGCAAAAATATGCAATTGCAATTGTTTTTAGTATTGATACTATGCCAGATTAGTTTAGTTTTTTGGATACAGCATTTGAGTATTAGTACTTTTCAGATTATCAACACTTTGGACAAGCCTAAAAGCAATTGTACGTAACTTTTGACCCAAGTATTACCTTAAATTGAGATATATTTAATTATATTTTTAAGTCAATATACAAAGCACTTGGTGGGTATCGATGCTACCAACTCCCCTATGTAGCTTTATTGGATCTGTCAATTAACAAGTTATGTGACCCAGAGCGCCGCTTTACGGCAGTCTTAGCTCCCCTTAGATACGAGAGCTAACCAAGCCAAAGGTTCGTTGTTAGGCAACAGATCTGACCCTTATCTAAAGGCCCTGTCACACTTTGACGATTTAGACCAGCGTATGCCTGACGTACGAAAAATCTGGCCAAAACGCTGGCATATGTTGGATAAGTTACGGCTACGTTTTGTATAAGGTATGAGCATGCTGAAACATTCTGGCACATGTCGACATACGTACGTACGTTGAGAAATATGCCAGCCTATGCTCATATGTGCGGCATAAGTTACGGGTAAGTTATTTGATCGTTGACATTCGTTAAGTGTAAGTCTCATAAGTTGTGGTGTCTTATCTAGGCTCTTATCCAGCTTATCCAAAACCTATGTGTAACTTAGGTTATAAAAGGGGGTTCACAGGAGGAAACCTTCTGTACTCCTGCAGATTTCATCCCGATCATAGGGTGAGCAAGAAGGTGATTGTGACGGATCCTCCCTGAGTTCACGCCCACGGCCATGGCCAACAAACTTCCTAGCAGACATGATGCTGAATCTGCTGCGACTGCAAACCCTCTTTCTTTTTCTTTTGTCTTTTTATTTACTCTTTTTTTGTTTTTTTTAGCCGGGGGTAAACAACAGCTAGGTTAATATCGTGATCAAAGAAATCTTTTTCTGCAGATCAGGGGTCTCCGGGCGCATCGCTGCCCCCCTCAGGACACTGGTTTGTAACATTTAATGGGCTTTACGCTGCGGTGCGTTATATATAAGTTAGGCTGAACATACACTCTGGACTCGTTATGAATACTCTGTGTGTACACCCAAAATTGAAAAAAAAAAAAACTACTTAGAAATTTCAGCATATGCCAGTGATTTAGAAGATTCTGGGGTGTCAGCAGAGATGGGAAGTAACGAAGTACAAATACTTCGTTACTGTACTCAAGTAGATTTTTCTGATATTTTTACTTTACTTTACTACTTATTTTTATGGCGACTTTTTACTTCTACTCCTTACATTTTTACACAAATATCTGTACTTTCTACTCCTTACATTTTAAAAAATTGGCTCGTTACTTTAGTTTTGAATCATTTCAATGGAGTTACCGTTATTATTTTTCACGTCATCAATACCAAATTCTATCTAATTGGATGGGAATCTACGTTGCATTTGACGCACCACTACAAGATGAATCGACAGATTCGGCGGTATTCATTCGCGGCAAATCATTGCAGCTTGGTGGCGGTGGCATTAGCATAGTAGTATGGACGGCGAGATGATTGAAAATGAACACAACGGAGATCTAGTCCTATTGGCAGACATCCATTTAAAATGTAGGCAACGGCATTAAAAAAGTGGTTTCTACTTTTACTTTTATACTTTAAGTAAATTTACAAGCCTGTACTTTGTTACTTTTACTTGAGTAAAGAAGTTTAATCAGTACTTCCACTTTTACCAGAGTATTTTTTAACACAAGTATCTGTACTTTTACTCAAGTACGGAAAGTGAGTACTTTTGCCATCTCTGGGCGTCAGGCATACGCTGGCTAAATCGGCAAGGTGTGACAGGGCTCTAATCAGACGTATTTCTGTTTTTCTTTAAGTATGACTTAACCTATAGAGTTGAATGAGGCCTTGTCTTTACAGCCGCCTCCATGCCGTCTCAATCTGCTGGGCCAAAGTGTTCTGCTCGCGAATAAAAAAAAACAGAGGAAGATTGTTTCATTTTGCGACAATGCAGATTTCCCAATAGCTTTTGGGGTCGCTAAACCTGGAAGTTGCAATTGAAGCGCCCCCTAGTAAATGAAAATTACAGTGTTGCTTTATGGCATCCAGGATTAGTTGTAAGAACAGGCTCTATTAGAGGAATATATGTGTTTAAATTGTAAATACAATACAGAAGAAAATACTGTAAGCTGTTTATTTTTAATAAATTTATGAAAAGTATTGTCACACCTACATTAGCATCTTTCTTGCACTGCAATGCATTCTGGGTAAATGATGTATGGTATGTACTGTTTCCAAAGCAGCAATAAGTAACATTAAACCTTTCAGTTTGATCTAGAGAGTGTTGAAATGGATGTGGAATTAGAAATCACAAGAATTGATGAAGATGAAGAGGACCAGACATGGAGAGGGGAGAATTAACCTAAGAAGATGTTGTTTGCGGGGCTTCTGCTTGGAGATGCTAACCATGATGGAGAGCCATGGTACAATATCAAAAATGAACCTGATTGGCTTTTAAAGGCTGTTTTGTGTGACTTAAAAAAATATTGTCCCTTTTTTCTTTCCTCGTCCTTCTGATTCCAAATTATTTATCTAGATGTCCTCAACGCACGTCTGTTCTTCTTCCAACTTTTTTTAAAATTTTAATTAGTAAAAAGAAAACATGCAAACAGACCCAAAGAAGAAACAAAACAATATCTGAAGGTTCAGATATTAACAATTAAAGGAAAGTCTGGAAGGATCAGTCCTCCTGTGAGTGAGGACAGATGGTGAGAAACATAAAATGGCAAACACACAGAGAAGTGAAGAAGAAAGGGAAGCTCCCTACATACTGCTAATCCTTAAACCTGTAGAGGGAAGGTTGAAAAGGATTATCCCAGCTCTGCTGTTAGGTCTGTGCCATCCATTAACAAACACACACACTTTCACACTCTTACAGCGATCCTTTCATCTTGCTTAATGGCTTTAGTTTCAGTAGATGCATGACTAAGTCAGCAGCATGTGTACATTTTTCTTTTTTATCACTTAAAAAAAAAAAGCTTAAACAGTCTCTCACCATCCTTATCTGTTTTTGAAACAGAGGGAGCCTGTAGCAGAGGTAAAGACATTTTGCCACTAAAACCACCTGAAAGAAGCTCCTGGCTCTCAGCAGTGGTCTACCGCCTCCAGGGATGGAGAGCCAAGATAAGAATAAAAACATAGACTGCACACTTAAAAAAATTTCCTTACAAAATAGGCTACATTAAGACACAGATCAATAGCTGTTTTCTTATAAAAGGAAACTGCTGGTGAGGAGAATGGTGCCACACCAAACAATGCCCCATTTCCCCAAATTGTGTGCGGCCCTTTGTGCATTTCCTATTAAAATTTGATGTGGGTTTGTAGTCAGGGAGCCGAGCGAAAGCTGTCACTTCACATCGAAGGTGCTGGTGGAGGCATTCGCAAGGGTTTCCTCTGTCGTGTGTCACGCTCCATCTCTTCCCTGGGTAACGTAACCTAGTTTCCCAGATTCTGCATGCACACACACATAAATGTACGTATCTTATTGCCATTGCTCTCATACCTTTATGTGCATGAATATTATCTGATGTGACTTCGACGCATCATCTCCCATATCCGCTTGCTCCCACGGAATACTTCCCCAGTCAGGATATATACAGACACAAATCTGTGTGAACAAACTGTAAAGGGTGTTGACATGTCACATTCAATCACAGCTGACTTTAGCTTTATGAGGTTCATGATTTACCCTGAAGGATACCCCTTTAGCTCTATTAGTGGTGGACTCTATTAAATCTATCTGAAATGCACCCAAATCATTTTTTGCTAATTTCCTTTCTCTATCTGAAACTCATTTCATGTTTTGTATTATTGAAGAATTTCTTTTATTGAAACATTACCAAAAAAGAAAATAAAGTATCAAGAAATTACAAGATTATATTTCGGCAGATGAATTTGGGGAAATTTTCTTTTTTTGTAGATTGGTGAGTTTAAACTGGTTTATGACCAGTTTTGCAATACTGAGTTTGAGCACCCTTTCATCTATAACCAACCTGTCGGAAACTCAAAAATCCAACTTTTTTTATTGGTCAGGGCAAGAGAGCTACCTTAAAGGAATAGTACACCCAAAACATGATTAGCCTTCATTTTCTACTCACCCCATGCTGAACAACACTCTGGAGTACTTTTTTGATATCTCAAAGGCATCTGGAGATCTGGGAGGCTTCTTGCTGTCTGCTGACATTCAAATAATGGAGGTCCATGGCGCCCGAGGCAGAAAGGTCCATAAAAGTCCACAAAAAACGTGTCAATATTCCTCCATACTGCTCGTCCAATGTATTCCAAGTGTCCTGAGTGGGTAGCATCCAGAATTTACTCGAAACAAAGTCATTTAGAATGTTTTTAGAGCATAAACAGTAGTGTATAGGTTATCCTGAAAGCGCGCACATGCGCGTTCAGGACGCTACGGAAGCCAGCAGACCAAACCAGCGCATTCAGCTCGGCAAAGAACTCATGCTCTTCCTCAACACTGAAGTCCTCAGACATTTTTCTTTCGTTGTTTCTTTCTTTGCACAGGTAAACAGCACATTTCTTCTTCTACGCTTGCATTATTGGCAGAGCAGACGCTGAATGCGCACTTTCATCTGGTTTGGTCTGCCGGCTTCCGTAGCGTCGTGAGCGCGCATGTGCGCGCTTTCAGGAAATCCTATACACTACTGTTTATGCTCTAAAAACATTCTAAATGACTTCGTTTCGAGTAAATTCTGGATGCTACCCACTCAGGACACTTGGAATATATTGGATGAGCAGTATGGAGGAATATTGACACGTTTTTGTGGACCTTTCTGACTCGGGCACAATAGACCTCCATTATTTGAATGTCAGCAGACAGCAAGAAGCCTCCCAGATCTCCAGATGCCTTTGAGATATCAAAAAAGTACTCCAGAGTGTTGTTCAGCATGGGGGTGAGTAGAAAATGAAGGCTAATCATGTTTTGGGTGTACTATTCCTTTAAAACTAAAGTCAATAGAAGAAATCTATGAAATAAAAATAAGTGTAAACAGTATTTTTGACTAGTGAGATGTGTCTAGTTTTTTTGGGCATGTGACAAAAGCAGGAGAGAGCAAGAGTTTTGGCAGATAACAGGAAGGCTGAACACAGTACAACTGAGAAGTAGACCTGGGCAATATTCAATTCAATTCAATTCAGTTTATTTATATAGCGCCAAATTCACAACACATGTCATCTCAAGGCACTTTACAGTTCAACCAGATCATACAGTCAAATTGATACAAAGTTTTCTATCTAAGGAAAACCAGTTGATTGCATTGACTCATTGACTCAAATACAATCCCCCACACTAAGCATGCTTGTAGCGACAGTGGAGAGGAAAAACTCCCTTTTAACAGGAAGAAACCTCCAGCAGAACCAGGCTCAGTGTGAGCGGCCATCTGCCGAGGCCGACTGGGGTTCAAGGAGACAGAAGCAGAGATACAAAAAGCAGCTGTAAAAGGCGGCCCCGTCCAGGAAACACACAGCCAGGCAGACGAGCTCCAAGGCAGCTCCCATGCCAGAGGACGAAGAGAGCACATCCACTCAGTCACGGTCAGAGAAACAGGACCACACTGGAAAACAGGCCGATCTCCAACATCTATTAACAAGGGTGTTGATAGAAGCAGCACAGCTGATGTTTTTTTCCAGGATGACGTCACAGCCAAACAGGAACAGACGAGGCAAAGCTACTCTGAGGAAAAGCAGAGAGAGCAGAAGGTTAGAGATTGAACTAACAGATTCTGCAGAATAGGAGAACAGAGAGAGAATGAAGCAGAATGATGAAATGGGGGTCCCTATGTCCTCCAAAAGTCTAAGCCTATAGCAGCATAACTATAGAGATAGCTCAGGATAACCTGAGCCACCCTAACTATAAGCTTTATCAAAAATGAAAGTTTTAAGCCTAGCCTTAAAAGTAGACAGGGTGTCTGCCTCACGGACTAAAACTGGTAGTTGGTTCCACAGGAGAGGAGCCTGATAACTAAAAGATCTGCCTCCCATTCTACTTTTAGAAATTCTAGGAACCACTAGTAAACCTGCAGATTGAGAGCGAAGTGCTCTGTTAGGAACATAAGGAACAATCAGATCTCTGATATAAGATGGAGCTTGGCCATTTAAGGCTTTATATGTGAGAAGGAGGATTTTAAATTCTATTCTGGATTTAACAGGAAGCCAATGAAGAGAAGCCAGGATAGGAGAGATATGATCTCTCTTTTTCATTTTCATTAGAACTCTGGCTGCAGCATTTTGGATCAGCTGAAGGCTTTTAACTACAGTTTGTGGACTTCCTGATAGTAAAGAATTACAATAGTCCAGCCTTGAAGTAACAAATGCATGGACTAGTTTCTCAGCATCACCCCTGGACAGGATATTTCTAATTTTTGCAATGTTCCTCAGATGAAAGAAGGAAATTCTAGAAACCTCTTTGATATGGGATTTAAATGACAGGTCCTGATCAAAAATAACACCAAGATTTTTTACTTTATTATCTGAAATCAGTTTAATCCCATCCAAATGAAGTGACTGGCTAATCAGTTTAATATTAATCAATATTAAATCAATATATCAAGATTTTGGAAATATCAATAAATCAAAATATATATATATATCAAAATATTTTTTCAAAAGAGATAGGAAATGAGTCTATAACGTTTATATCGAGATGGTCTTTATTTCCATATAATTATATGTTAATTTTATGAATGCCACTATGTTATTTTTAAGCCAATTCAGACATAATTTCATGATTCTAAAGCTTTTTCTTAGTAAAAATGTGTTTTTTTGAAATTTGAGACAACATTGTAATTCAGAGGTTTCTTTTTTATAAGCATTGTTATTGTATATCACAGGACTAAGCGCTGAAAAACAGGCCCAACTCTATCATTTATTTAAGTTGTCAATCCCAACAGCCCAGCTGATGTCTTTCTGCAGGAGGGGGGTAACAGCTTAACAGAACCAGACCAGAAGAGGTCATTATGATGAAAGAACATAAAGTCAGGGGTTGGGCTTACAAATGAAGTAGAATATAAAAGAAAGAAATGGAATGATTCAAAGCGATGAAAAGTGGACCCCATGTTCTCCAGCAGTCTAAGCCTATAGCAGCATAACTACAGAGCTCATAAGCAGAGCAACTCTAACTATAAGCTTTATAAAAAGGAAAAAAAAAGGAGGGAAGAATTGGAGGTAGACAACTGTTTATTTGTTTGTTTTGTCCTAGATGATGCCACATTTGTATATGTAAATACTTAATTTTAGAAGTTTATTACATCCAACACAACATGCAACATACACAAAAAAACTCATGTTTATTTACTGCTGTTTGTTAAAACAAATGTGACATTTGTGACTAAGTCTGGATTTGGAAGCGCCCCTCTGTAATTATTGATCAATGAGAGCACACTGCCTCTGCAGGGTGGAAGGAATGGGTCACAGCTCTTCACCTGTCTTCTATGGAACAAGACAGCTATTAAGTTTAATATCTCAAGACTGTTCCCAGCTTTACCTGAAATAAATGTTGACCCTCTCTTTTTTTTTTTTTTTTTTCAAAGGGTCACCCATGCCCACCGTGTCCCTCAGGACTTTCATGCCCGTTTTAAAGCCCGTTCTCGGACCTATGTTTACCGAATAGCTCTGGGCGTCTCCCACCACACTCTGCTTCCCCTCACAGACTGGAATCTGTGCTGGAGCCTCCGCAACACGTGAGTGATCCCATCCCCTATTTGCGCTATTGTCATGTGCAGCATCATGAGAAATAAAACTTAGCCTATGGTTTTATTCACAAAAGCTGAGAGCTCAGAGAAAACAACTGGATGTTAATTTGCATTAATAATCCACATTAGGAATGGTGGAGCTGGAAATTAAGGACTTTATGGGAGCTTGTGTGCCAACAGCAAACAAAAGGGATGGCATGTATATATAGAGAAAATGTTTAGGGCTTTGAAGATTTGACAATGTTCTTTTGGCTGTGATTGTAAGGAGGGGGCATGAAGAAATCCCATTTGAAGGAGTGTATCTTCGAACATTTCTCCGCTGTTCTCACTTGACTTTTTTATTTTTTATTTAAAGAAAAGTAGGGCAAGAAAAGCTGCGGGCTTATACACTAGCTGAAAAAACACCCATGCATTTTATCTAGGTTTCTTTTTCTTCCCACTCTAACTTTTTCACTTCTCCAGCTCTCATTTGTTACCTAGCTTCTTCTTGCTCTCCCTTTTCCCTCATTTCTCTCTCTTCATCGTCTGCTTCTTCATCCCTCTCTCATGCCCAGACTTCATCTCATCTTTCGGCCCCAGAGTATCTCTGCCTCAGCAGCGTCTCTTCGTTTTGTCTTTGATCTGCCGCTCTCCTCCCTCGTCATCACACCCGCTTTCCACTGCAAGAAATATCAGATGGATGGCTTTAGTTTTTCTTCTCTAAACTGGTTTTCTATTAAAAATAATGCTTTTTTTTCTTTTTTTTTAGCGGAAGAGCTTGCATATTAGGTTCAGTTAATTGCCTTTGAAAACGTTTACAAAACCTCTGCAATTGTCAAATGGATTTCGGTGGTGGCAGTGTAATGGTATGGGGTGGCATCAACACAAGGGAACATTAATGGAAGCAATCAAAGCGTCTTTATTCTTCTGAATCAAACTCTACCCTGTAATGGGTTAATCCCTAAGATTTTTTCATCTTTTGCTGATTTTTAAATGAGGGCATTAAGAGTTTTAATTGGGCAGTCACTCAGCACAGACCCTCTTCTCATTTTCTTGCTGGATTTCCCCCTACCTTCCCGGTCTTTCGTCTCATATTGACAATCCAAGAGGCTGCAGAGCGCTCTATCCAGGCTCTCACTTTCTCTCTCTATTAATACAGATTAAATTGGAAAAAGAAGACATAGAAATGCATTATTTTATTTTTCTACGTGGGCTCTTCATTCTGACCTCAACTCATTTTAAGGTCAACATGAAGCAAGTGAGGCCAGAAAGTACTGGCTGGTGTAGATTTGACTGCAGGGAATCGCACTGTTTCTGCTTTTACAGTCTAATGTTTTGTTTTTTAGAGAGCTGGATATGGACGCTATGCGTGAGGCTGCTGCCCTGCTGGTTGGGACTCATGATTTTAGCACCTTCAGGGCAGTGAACTCTGAAATACATTTTAAAAACCCTGTGAAGACGTTGGATATGGTTGCCATACAGCCAGGAAGCTCCTTTGCACAGTCGCACTTTCACAGGTAAGATTGAAATAAACAAGTTACACAGTACAACTGAAAAATGGCAGCGGATAAAACCAATGCTGATGCATTTTACATAGCGATAGGGATAGGTACTGTAACCAGGTCAGACCAATAAACTTTAGGCTTAAGAACACATGCCACCGGGACTGATAGGAAGGGTTAAGGTTCTGTTAACATCATTGCTTCATTTTCTCTCTTTCAAAGCTGTTGTCCAATCTTTAGCGACTTTTCAGACCCCTCTTTCGGCTTTTATTTTTAGAAACAAATCTAGCAACTTTTAATCCATAAGTGAAACCATCGATTGCTCTGAGTTTACTATCTTCAGTCAAAGGCACTGACAGGCGGTCAGTCTCAGGAGCCTCAAGCCGCACACTGTCTGCACAGAGAGCCAATTCCAACTTTGTTTCACCATTGAAAATGAATCACACATGAGCAAAGTTTTCATTGTTTCTGTCCGGGATTGCAAAGTGTAATGTACATTAATGTAATAGTCTTTAATTTTTTTTTGTTTCTTTTTTTCTCTAAACTTTTAAATAGATCATGCCTTGTCATTAATTCACACCGAGCCTCCTCCATTTATTCACCTCCTTCACTCTGTGTGCCTCTGAAAACTTTTAATTGAATATGATATGACAAAAAAATTATTTCTATTTTGGGTTTAGGTTAAAAATTGCTACCACTCCTCGTGTAATGAAAGAAAAACCTGCAATGGTCATAGAAATAATTTGAATCTGAAAATTATTTAAAGTAGTAATAAATTTAAAAATTCTATGAAAATAAACAATTGAATGTCAGACATTGCTTTTCAGCCATGCTTGAACAGAATTATAAAAAAATAAACTAATGAAACAGGCCTGGAAAAAAATGCTGGTAGTCCTAGAAAAAAACAGACAGAAATCTGACCAAATGAACGTGTTAAATTAAGGTGTGTCCAATAAAAATAAAATGATAATATTTAGGTTCGTTTTTATTCAATTCAAACAATAGACATTATGTATTTGAAATAAATGATCTCAGTTTAATTTTAAGTAAGTACACTTAAATAGTAAATCCATAAAGCTGATGATAATCTATTTCAAATGAATAAGCTTTATTATAGAAAGTTTTGTTAAACTTATTTAAAGAGAAAGTAAATTGGAATTTATTATGTAATAAATCTGTAAATAACCTGAAAGTTTGGGTGAAATTTTTCAGTGTGTCTTTAAACACGTTTACCACATTATTTACACATATATGTGAAAAAGCACTGTGAAAACCTAGGCTTAATTGGCAAATAGCCAAAAATATAGACTGTATAATAGGTGTAGTCCCATATTTTTATCTAAAAGTGACTCGGTGCAGCATCCTGACTATTAAGAGCCATTGCAATGGAGGACTCATTAAGATAAACCTATTATTCAAAAGTAAAAATCAATAAGATAATTTTTTTGTACTTTTGAACAGCTGAATTCTCCTGCTGTGAGATCCAACAGGTTAACAGAGTTAATTAAAGAGCTGTGTGTGATTATGTTTTAAGTGGGTCTATGTAATTTAGACAATGAGGTTTCAGTATAATCCATGCCAGAGATGGAGAACACCATGTGGGATGTGGGAGATTACACTTCTGTGGGGGTCGCTCTGTATGCTAGATAATACCTCCATGAGCATTAAATGTTAATCCTGAAAATATGCTGCACCATATAGGAAAATATAAGCACTTCTTAGAAATAATGTAATTTATTTCTCTCTAGCTCCCCCCCCACCCCACCCCCCATGAAAGCTTTCTACATATTTAATTTCATTTTTCTATGAGGGATGAGATAGAAAAAACAAAAGTAAAGCGTAAGGGTTTTTTGGGAGTTTCTTTAGTCAATTTTCTCATTTTCCTATGCATGTAAATAATCCTCCATTGATCTATTTATTTATTTATGCAGTGCCTTCATGAATTCATGGAGGATATAAGGATTTGTTTGTTTTATTAATTATGTTATGAATGAATTTAAGATTAAAAGTTGTGTTTGGATTAAAATGGCGGCACTAAAAAGGACTGGTCGTCAATCACTCTGCGATGTGTTTGTTTATAGTTTCTTTTTTTAGTTTGTTCACTCATCTCAGCAGTAAATACAATGTCCCAAGAAGCTCTTCTTTCTACTCTGTGTTCAGTTCTTCTTCTCAGTGACCTTGTCGCTTTGAACGCTTCTGCTAAACTGTGTGGGAAATTTTTGCATGGTCTTTTAATTAAAATCATCTTTGAAAAAAGCTTTTTACTTTTATTTACTCGGGTATTGTTCTAGCAAACTGCCAGGTAGCCACTCCCCACTTTCTGTGGCTTGATGAGAACCAGGTGGACTCTTCTTGCAATCAGAGATTGCAGGTGCTTTTTGGTGTAACTGACCTACCACTCATGTTTGAAAAAGTGCTACAACATGAGAAACAGAGCTGGTAGCACATGTAAAATCAGAACTGTGCAAGTTTTTTTTTTTTTTTTTTTTAACAAAGTTTGAAGGACAGCCGGTAAGCCTCACAATGCTGTTGCTCACTTCCTGAATCTCATTGGAGCAGCACATGGACTCTGATAGACTGTTGTATTAAAGCTACTGTGTGTAATAATTACAGGGATATACAGTCAGAAATGTAATATATTATACATAACTATGTTATTTATCATCATCTACGAGCTCAGCCTCTTAACCTTAATATTTGCGTTGCCTTAGAATTCGTTATTTATAATTACATAGGAGCGGGTCTTGCAGCCATGGAAGCAGACATCTTTGCGCTACGGCAGCGCAGAGCCAACAAACTAGCGATTGCGAGATCGCCCATTACGCTCGAAAGTAACTACGGCAAGTTGAGAGAGATGAACTGAGACGGTACTGAACACACAGACTAATGAAATGCTATCTGTAAAATTATCTATGTAAACAAACCTCATCACTTGAGAAGGTAGGTGATGCGGACATCGTGGAAGACATTTTGTCCCGTAACGCTCGCCGTACTGTTGGGGGGGAGAAGCGGTGGGGGGGAGATGTTCATGTTGCTGCAGTCTGCACTCTGGACGTTAGATGTCGCTGAAAATTACACACTGTAGCTTTAAAGGGTTTTAATATAAAATAAAAATATTAATAATTATCTTAATAATAATACACTTGGTTTTATTGTTAATGGTATTTACTCAACAATGTTGAGTAAAATCTTTGGGGGGAAAAAGAATATATTTAACAAAAGGCTGACAAATATGCAAATTTATTTATTTGCATTGAATTACTATCAAATATTCGCTATTTATTATACTTTTGAAATAATTGGTTTAAAGGGGTGGAAAAATGTTTCATTATTTCAAAAGTATTTATCTTTTTTATTTCAAAATGTAATGTGCTTCTGTTTCTCTTGAGGTTTTTCACCTATATGACTGGAAGGCTATGCTGATCATCAAAGCTGGATCAGCTAAATTGAAGGCTCTTTGAGTGAAATCCAGCTAAGTTCCATAGTAGAAACTATCCCTTTCAAGTGGGGAATTGCACAGTAAACAAAACGTGACATAACTTGACAGGTATCTCTGTCAGATATTAACTGGTTTGATGATCAGGAACCCTTAAGTTAGAGAAAAAAGCAAAATCAGAAGAATCTGTAGGAGTGTAGACAGGTGTCTACTGTATAGGAACCCATTTATTCTTTCCAACAAGTAAACTCCGCAACAAAAGGGTGTGTAATGTATAACAAATTGCATATAATCATCTTAATCCTAATTTGAAGGCTCTGCCTGAGATAAACTGGTTAAATGCAGCTGTGTCCTAAATCTTTCAGACTGAATAAGAGCATAAAGTGTTTTACTGCTCCTCCTACCCAAGTGCTTTAATAAGCTGCTAGTTAGCTAGAGGAGACGATGCTTCCACGTCTTCCCTGGGAGGGGGCCAATGGTTGCAAAGAATACCAATAGTAGTGTTATAGGTCAACCCATAGATCCACAGCCAGAGAGCTACTAGCAACATGCCTGACTAATTATCTCAGCTAATTTTATTATAGTTGAGATTTTTTTCACATCTGTACTGTATAAAGAGCAGGAACATTATTCTACTCTATAGACATTTGACAATTATAACAATCTAGAGGGTGTTTATTATATTTGTTTGTTTACCAACTTCTATAAATAACCAACTAACTGTATTTTATCAGTAGTAGGTGGCTTGAAATCATTTATATCAGTGGGAGTATTTCATTGCGCCCCAATGATAAGACATGCAGAGAAATGTGTTTCTGCTTGTTAGTAAAAATAAATTGTATGCAATCATAACTGAAAATAAATTAGTGACAGTTCAGTGTTACCATGTTGTGTTTTATTCATTCATGTTTGTCACACTCTCAGCATGAACGTTGTTTTGTTTCTTTGTTTTCCTAATTAAGTGACTAATTGCTTTAGATCATCTCATCAGTTGGTTCGTCTCAGGGGCAAATCTGACTGTAGATCTTTGGCAACAGCACTATAGCAAGATATGATGCTTGACTGGCTTTATTGTGCATGGCTTTATTCCTGACTCCTCAATTAAGGTGCTTCTGTCTCCTGCCAGTAAAGATAAAGCAGGATTAGTTGGTAGCTCTGATAATTACAGAGCTATTTCCTTTACAAGTAAACTGTTAAAGTTCTTTTAAATAATTCTAGTTCCAAGAATTGAAGAAAATAAATGTCTACAATCAGTTTGGGTTTAAGTCTAAGAACTGTGGTGTGTCTAAATCTATAGGAAGATCCCTCCCATTCAAAACATGCAGGTCAGGTGAAAAAACCGTTTGACTGTATCCTCTGGGTCAGTGATGGAGTCGGACAAGGAGGCTTCCTCTCCTCTTTATTGATCAGTTCTTATATAGATGACCTTTCTAAGTAGATCAATCCATGTACAACTGGCTTATTGGTTGAAGACTTGGTTGTAAACCAATTGATGTATGCTGACAACTCTGTAGTTTTAGTCCAAGTTCAGCTGGTCTTTAAAAGCTGCCTAATGCGTGTTCGGTATATGGTGAAGTTCAGGATGGTAAATTCAACCCATCAAAAAGTGTATGATATTTCGCACTAAAGACGATACATGTCATAATTTTAAGTTGATCTTACTGGTCATGTGCTGAGAGACTGCTACCAGATGATGAGATTTATCGCCAAGCTTGAATGTTCTGGCTCAGAAATTTTGAGATTTTCTGATAAAGTTAAACTCAAATGTATTTAGATAATGTTATCATGGATACAGCACATTTATGATGCAATCATAAAAAACAGCTTTCTGACACTAAAGGTTGCTTATAAAGATGCATTTATCTTTAGTTAAAGAAGCTTAGATGGAGCATTGCCAGTTAACAGTTTGTTTCAGCTAATGTCAGCTGTTTTAAGGGATTTTATTTATAGGTTAATTTGCCAACTAAATCAGTCCAAAAATAGAATTATCCCTCTGTTGACTAACATTAAATATAGTCCAGTAAGATCTGTATATCGCTGCCTCCTAAAAGAGAATCTTTTCATGTATTTTTTTAATTTGTATTTTATTATGTAGGGGAGACCGGGGCTAGTTGTGACTTTTTACACTCATATCTTGGAATCAAAACATCATATATTAACAAAATATGTATCTGATGAAAGACTAAAGTTTCAGGTATATATTTTGTATTCATGTCATTTTCATATATTGTGTCAGTACAGAGTTATAAGCAATCAATTCAACATTGTCACCATGTAACAAGTTGTCCCACCAAAGGCTAAGTTTTCACACTATGTGGGGTAAGATGTCACACTGGATTTTGCAACCGATAAAATAAGGACAAAAGAATAGTTATTTCCTTAATGGAAAGTGGATAAATGACATTAATTCACTCTTGTTACACTTGGGATATGAAATATCATGAAATATTATGCAACAAGCATTACTAAACAAACTGGTCCTGGAACAAAAGGAGATCTCACTAGTCAGAGTCTCCATCTCAGTTGCAGTTTTGGCAGACATATACAGAATTACCAGGTGTGCATTCTTAATGTGCCCATCCTTTGCATATCATGCACTGCAACCAGGGTTCTCCTGGGCGGCTCTTTCCAAATGGTTCTATAAGGACCAGGCACAGGGACTAATCTTCTTCCATAGTTTTTATATTTGCACTCTATTTCTTCTCTGTGCTTTGCTTCTTTTGCACTTTAAATTTTGTAACATTGCCTTTCTTTTTGAACAGTATGTTCTTCCCTTTTGCCTGCCTTTCTGCTTCATGTGCCTCTTTCACTGATGTGTCAGTGAGAACAGAGGTGTTTCTCTTCCTTCTCTGCTGGGTACGTTTTTATCTTGGACCAGCTTTTCGGTAATGCCTTATATCCTCTAGAGTAAATGCATTGATGGAGGAGGCTGCTTTACTAAGGCCTAAAATAGCTTCTAGGTTGGTGCTTGGGTCTAGAGCAGCTGGGCCATTGCTTGGTCCAGCGCTGGCCCAGTTGGTGCTTGGGCTTGGTAGAACTAGGTCCTGATAAGGGTGATCTGAGCAAATTCTGTCTACAAGAACACTTCCCTGTTGTAAGGCTGAATCCCCGTTGCACAAAAGCCAGCTTGATGTTATGTGGGGTTACAGTCATTGGATAAGTAGTTGCTACAATCCCAGGGATGTCATAAATGCGGAGTGCTTTCGCGGGGTTGTTCTTTTATAACTTCTGACCATCTTTTAACTTTCTCCTTTCTTTTAAACCACTATTTTTTTCAATAAAAATTTAGTAAAATCTTCATTAGGGTGTGATAATTTAAATAATTATTTGAAAATTATCATTTTGGGGTAATCGTTACATGTGACAACTTAACCCAAAATGACTGTGACAAGTTGCCCCGAATGACCATGTTTGCTGATTCTAGCTCTAACTTAAGGTTAACTTAAATCAGAACAATGAATGATGTAGAACAGGATGTCTTAATATCCATTTTTAAAAAGTCCACATGTATAACTCCTAGGATATTTATCTGATTTAAACTTATTTAAAAAAAAGAGTAATTATTTTTTACTTAATGAAAAATCTTTAATTGGTAAATGGCCTGTACTTATATAGCGCTTTTTCAAGTCTCCTGACTTGATCAAAGCGCTTTACACTACATTTAGTCATTCACCCATTCACGCACACACTCACACACTGATGTGTTGATGTTCATTTAAACTAACAATGTGTTGTCTTCTTCTCACTCAGTCCATAGGACCTGACCATGCAAATGAAGAAAACTAGTATTCTAGATTTTAGTTGCACCCTCTGGTGGAGAAGATAATTGCAATATGACACCTAGTCTCCCCTATTTGTACTCTCATTTAACCCCTTTTTTCAATCATTGATTGTGTGTGTTGTTGTTTTTTTAAGTAATTCGAAATACGAGTCTGTAATGAAATCAATTGCGTCTACTGAGGTTCAAAACAGCATTTCAAAATACTCATGAAAAGCATAAATGTATATACACTATATTGCCAAAAGTATTTGCTCACCTGCCTTGACTCACATATGAGCTTAAGTGACATCCCGTTCCTAATCCATAGGGTTCAATATGACGTCGGTCCACCCTTTGCAGCTAGAACAGCTTCAACTCTTCTGGGAAGGCTGTCCACAAGGTTTAGGAGTGTGTTTATGGGAATTTTTTACCATTCTTCCAGAAGCGCATTTGTGAGGTCGCACACTGATGTTGGACGAGAAGGCCTGGCTCTCAGTCTCCGCTCTAATTCATCCCAAAGGTGTTCTATCGGGTTGAGGTCAGGACTCTGTGCAGGCCAGTCAAGTTCATCCACACCAGACTCTGTCATCCATGTCTTTATGGACCTTGCTTTGTGCACTGGTGCACAGTCATGTTGGAAGAGGAAGGGGCCAGCTCCAAACTGTTCCCACAAAGTTGGGAGCATGGAATTGTCCAAAATGTCTTGGTATGCTGAAGCATTCAGAGTTCCTTTCACTGGAACTAAGGGGCCAAGCCCAGCTCCTGAAAAACAACCTCACACCATAATCCCCCCTCCACCAAACTTTACACTTGGCACAATGCAGTCAGACAAGTACCGTTCTCCTGGCAACCGCCAAACCCAGACCCGTCCATCAGATTGCCAGATGGAGAAGCGCGATTCGTCACTCCAGAGAACGCGTCTCCACTGCTCTAGAGTCCAGTGGCGGCGTGCTTTACACCACCGCATCCGACGCTTTGCATTGCACTTGGTGATGTATGGCTTGGATGCAGCTGCTCGACCATGGAAACCCATTCCATGAAGCTCTCTGCGCACTGTTCTTGAGCTAATCTGAAGGCCACATGAAGTTTGGAGGTCTGTAGTGATTGACTCTGCAGAAAGTTGGCGACCTCTTCGCACTATGCGCGTCAGCATCCGCTGACCCCGCTCCGTCAGTTTACGTGGCCTACCACTTCGTGGCTGAGTTGCTGTCGTTCCCAAACACTTCCATTTTCTTATAATACAGCTGACAGTTGACCGTGGAATATTTAGGAGCGAGGAACTTTCACGACTGGATTTGTTGCACAGGTGGCATCCTATCACAGTTCCAGGCTGGAATTCACTGAGCTCCTGAGAGCGACCCATTCTTTCACAAATGTTTGTAAAAACAGTCTGCATGCCTAGGTGCTTGAATTTATACACCTGTGGCCATGGAAGTGATTGGAACACCTGATTCCAATAATTTGGATGGGTGAGCAAATACTTTTGGCAATATAGTGTATGTTTTTCCCTTATGATTGCATAAATCTTACCAAACTAATATGTGTCACAATATAAGTCTAAACAAAACATAAAACAACGTGGATCTGTCTAACCTTGGTGTAAATGTGTCTAAGGAGAGTGTCCTGCTCACACTGCTTCCAGGCCTGGTTTATAAACCTTCCTCTCCATTTATTATATGTCAAATGCAATCAGACAGCAAGCTGCGAATCAAATTAGCATTTGACCCAATTCCTACAGCATGTTCTTTGGTTATTTGTATATTTTCTTACCAAAATGTGAAAGAACGAATAAAAATTGCAACTAAATGTCATTTCATTTTTGCAGAGAGTTACAGTTCTGGGAGCTGACCTTTAGAAGTCGATCTTTCCTCTATAAGCAGGTTGGTTGCTCTTATGTCTTGTAAATGCCAGCTTAATCAATGTGTGTATTTCTGATTTTGTTTCTAATTGGTCTGGATTATCAGCGCCCTCTGCTGGTAGTGAAAACCAGCACGTTTGCTTTAAACCTGAGAGCATAAGTGTGGTTGTTTGATCCAGGTTCGGAGGATGACCGGGGCCCTGGTGGCTGTAGGCCGGGGACAGCTGTCCGTGTCTCAGGTCAAACAGATCCTGGACGCTCGGGACACGCTGGCCTACCCTCAGGGTGTGGTTGCTCCAGCTCACGGCCTCTTCCTTAGAAGTGTAGATTACAAAGAGTCAGGTGAGTGGCAATCATCCTTAACCTTTACTAATATTTCATTTCCTTCTTCTAGCCACAGTGCAAACCTTTCAATTTACAAATTTATCAAATCTTTAAGATTCCTTACTCCATAAGAGCTGAATGAAATGTAAAACTGAAAAACTAAATGTGTAAAATAGTAATTTCTAACTCCGGCAAACACTGTACTGTTTCAACCATTTGAGAATAAAAATATTCAGCTCACATTTAGGACATTAAAGCTGCTTACTTGTATAATTTGAAAAAAATATTTATCTTCTTGTAACCTTTTTTCCCTCAATACAAATGAACAAGGCAAACCCTACAATTACCCAAACTCTGCTCTTATCACTACATCAACTTAAAACTGCTCCAAAGCTATTGGACTAAATCCCTGTTATGTCTTTATCATTTTCCATCTATTTCCACTATTTATATTATAAAAATATTAAAACTGCCACATTTATAACATGCCGCATCTTGAACACTTTTGTAACCCTTTAATTAAATCGATGCTCTAAAACAGAAGCTATAATACCAATCATATGTCAGGTTTTCTGGATGGATAATTAAAAGATAGTTGAACTTTATTGATCTCGCATTGGAGAAATTCACTCTCTGCATTTGTTCCATCCCCTTGGGGAGCAGTAGGCTGCCATTGTGTGGCGCCCGCAGAGCAGTCTGGGGTTAGGGGTCTTGCTCAGAGACCCAGAGTGGCAGTTTGTGGGAGTGGGGCTCAAACTCAGAACCTCTGGATTCCAAGTTCTATGCTGTAACCACTGTGCTGCCCCCCCTAAACATTAGTCACTGCCTGCTACTTTGCTCCTAAGTGATTGGAATATTTAAAGTCTTTAAAAAAATCTATATTTTAGGAAACATCAATGATTTTCAGAATTTTTATATCTATTGTTCCTTATGTAATAAAAAAGCTTCAGGATTTTTGCAGAACTCCTAGTTTATGTTGCCAAAGCGAGGGAACCAGCATTTGATGTCTTTTAACATTTCAAGCTATTGGAAGCATAATTATTTACACAGAAATTGTCAAACAGCAAAGTGCTCTGCTTCCAAAATATAAGAATAAAACATTCAGGGACAGAAGGAGTTGGAAACAGGGCTACATTTGTTTAGGGCCAAAAAAACAACTGGAATATTTAAAAAAAGAGTTGTTTCTATAATATCTAGAATAGGACATTTTTTTATTTTTTTATTAATTAAAGATATAGTGGAGGATATTCGTGAATTTTTCAAAAGACTCGCCCTCTAAAAAATAAATGCACTTTTAGCCCTTTAAGTTCATCTTATTTCTATTCTCAATAACGCATTTTTTGCACAAATGCCTATCTGCACTGAACCATTGCAATTTGCACACTATCTTTATCCTCTGCACTGTTTACACTTTGACCACTGCTGCACTTTTTGTATAACTCGTGCCATTTGAAATATCAGTGCAATGTTCATAAGCTGTATGTAACGCAATTTCGTTCTGTATGCACTCTGTGCATACAAAATGACAAATAAAGAAGTCTAAGTCTAAGTTAAATACACAACCCTGTACCCACTCCAGAGAGGCAATGCCTATTAGATGTGTGCGAGAGCATGCAGGAGCCCATTTCTCCTCGTGCACGCTCGGTTTAAAAGTTGCTTGTACTCATACAAGCTTACTTTCCAAAAGATTTGCAATTTTTCCACGGTCAGACTCTGCACCGGTGAGTGAAAATGGGGACGAGCATATAGGGCGGCCTAACATAAACATATCATCCAAATGTTTGAAAATTAGGAGGACCACTTATTTTGATGAAATCCTTCACTATACCTATAAATAAGCATAGAGTTTTAATAAATATTCTTAATAGAATGTTGAATTTGACGACAAAAAAAACACACAGTAAACAACTGGGTGTTAGACATATATGCTATGAAAATAAAGCTGTCTAAGCTAGAACCTTTAACTTACCTTAACATTAGTATATTTTGGGCCAAAGTTATTAAAAGCTGCAGAGGTGGATCTAAAGAGCCACATGTGGCTTTTATTCCAAGGCGTCAAGCTTTGTTTTTGAACTAAAGTGTGTGTTAGAATACTTTATTGAATACAAAAGATTGGGTTGGCTAAACAGGTTGATTTACTTTGTATTTTGATCCAATTAATCGCAAACACTAACTACTTAATTTGGTTGCTCTGTACTTATGACAGTGTAATGACAATAAAGAAGGGAAAAAAGCTGTAGTTAATGGAAATAAGTTTATTTGTACAAAAGCCCCTGTTGCTGAAACAAAAATCAATTTAGCAGGTATTTTCTAAGAATGCCTGTACAAGACAACTCGATCATCTTTGGATTTTCAAAATTCATGTTTTTATTTTATTTTCTAAACCTTGACACAGGATGTATAGATCTAATATACAATGCTCAAAAAATAAAGGGAACACATAAACAGCAAAATATAACTTAAATCAAATCAAACTTATGTGAAATCAAACTAAAGCATCACTGATAAATTGATCAATTTCACATGCTGCAAATGGAATAGACAACAGGTGGAAATTATTGACAATTAGTAAGACGCACTCATTAAAGGAGTGGTTTTGCAGGTGGGGAACTTCTCAGCACCTGTGCTTTCTGGCTGATGTTTTTGTTACTTTTAAATGTTGGTGATGTTTTCACACTTATGGTAGCATGAGACACTCTACAACCCACACAATTGGCTCAGGTAGTGGAGTTCATCCAGGATGAACTGTTAAATGTATTAACCTCCTGGTTTACTGGCCTGTGTGCCGAAAGCACCTCCAGCCTCTGGGCACTATGCTGACAGACACAGGCCAGAACACCGGGAATTAGATACATTTAATTACCATTGAGGATTTCTGTCATCAGCACATTCTACTTTGTACAGAACAAAGTATTCAATGAGAATATTTAACTCATTCAGATGTTGGATGTATTTCAGTGTTGTTGTTTTTTTATTTGAGCAGTTTAACTCAAAGTCTAGTGTATCTCTTTCCTCATAAACTTCAACTGTTTCATCCTATGAATTGATATGAATATTTGGTATATTTTGTTATTCAGAACATTTTGTATTTAGTTACAGAGGGATATAACTTTCTTTAGAGATTGTATACTGCTTATTTTTCTAGTTAAAGTTTTCAACATAACTGGTTTAATTTCTGTTACCTTTCCCTGTTAAATTTCATGTGGTTTAGTCTTTGCCTTGCTGCCATATTTCCCATGTTTGTCTATCAGGTCATGTCTCATGGTAACTCTTTCTTTATTTCCTGTAGATCTACAGCTCTCCCAGCTGCCTGACTCGCCTGACGATCCAATAAAAATATCCTGTTAGAATAAGTAAATATTAAAAATAAACTCTATGTGGGGGATTGAATTGAGTCACTGTTGGTTTTGAAGATCCACTCTTGCCTTTGGTTTTTGTTAAATTATCTTCATTTCTGATGTCTTGCTTCAATGCCCTTAAATAAAATCCCCTCTGATGGTATCCATTTTTTTTTTTTTTTGTGCAAAAGTCTGCACCAACACAACCACGGATGCTGCTACCAAAGGATTGCAGGCTTCCACATGTATTTATTGATTATGATCAAAAGGTTATTTGGTTTCATCAGACTGAGCATGTCTGATGAAAGAGGCTCTGCTCCTCCAGGTCGCAGTCAGAGGTTCGACTACCGGGCCAGTAAATTTTGCTGCATGTCTTCCCCCCCTCTCTGATCCTATTTCCTGTCAACCTATTTTATAAAATGACACAAATGAAGACCATTAGAGCCTAAAAATAATTTTTTTTTTAAATAAGGCATTTGACCCCTATTGGTATTTGTGAGCATAAGAGGTTTCATGGAATCTCGTTCCATTATTTTTGACAATGAAATTTTTTTTATGAAATCCAGAAAGGAAACTTTTGATAAATGTAATCACAAAAGGTGTAACTTTGCTGGTGTCTTAGGTTGTTTTTTTTTTCCATTTTGTTTTCAAACTTGTTCAATCAATGGTGGAAACTCAATTCAGATTGAGTTTTAAGAATGTCCTTTCAAACTTTTTTTTTTTTTTCTCCAGATAATTTAACTTCAGCAACATTTGTGTTTGCTTGAAGTCCCTGCATACCAATGGAAATGCATGCAAGCCCACTCCACAAAGTGAAGAGAATGAGATCTCTAAAACAGTTTCAAAAGAATGCAAATTATAAATCCTCAATTTGAAAAATCATTTTTGAAGAAATTATGTATATTTTTTTAATAAACGTGGAAAAGAAATTGGGGGGGGAAAAGGGCACCATAGTTAATTTAAAAACCTTATTTTTGAAAGGTTTTCAACGTTTCATTTTTGGATTGCATTTTTTTTAATTTCTATTTATTAAACATGTTTTTTTTTCCAAATTTAGTTTTACAAAATAAATGTTGTGCCGTCAACATTGGGTGGAGAGGGGGTGGAGGGGGGAATTTCACTCCATAGTGTTTTTCCCTCATTGAAAGGCCTTTGAGCCTGTGACAGATTGCTTTCATTCTCTTATTAGCATCTTTAGGGACTCTTCTAGATGTTCTGGGGTTGATATATCACTAATTGAAAACAAATCTCATCAGTCTCAGACACAGAACCCATCTATTTCCTGAACAGTTGTGTCTTAAGATTTCCATGTAGTTAATACTTGCATATGACCTGTTTAAGTGGATGCGACACCTTCAGGCATCCGGTAACCAAAGAATCAACCAGAATTGTGATGGTCCACAGTATATTTAATAAGTCTAAGATATCACAGAAGAAATGTTTGAGGTGCTGCCTTAAAGTAAATCCTAATGTTGCACAAGTTGTTCACATCTGTATCTGCCTTGGCCAGTTTATCCTTTTTCTTTCCCCTTAAATTATTAAAGCTGTAAATTGTGTTGTGAATTTGCAATGATTCTCAGTTTAGAAAATCTTAGAGAAAATGAAATGCATAGGATGCCCCCATTTAACTCGATGAGGAATTGGTTGTTTATGCAGTGTAAAAAGGGATTATTTTGACTTGATTCAAATATCCAACAACTGGATATTTTTATTTAATCAAACTGCAAAGTAAAAAAAAAGCACAAGACAGATTATCAATTTAAAATATCTGTGAATGTGAAAATAGTACCTGTGGAGGCAGTGCTGCTTCTAAAAGGTCAGAATCAGCTTTCAGACACAAACAGGCAATGGAGAACAAGTTGAACCTCTATATGTTCATTTAATTCAACATATTAAGAATACATGACCGTGTTCATGAATGCAGCTCGGCTTACTCCACACCACACACCTTAAACCTATGGTTGGCTACTACGGACACAACTTGCTTAATGCCTATTTAGTCATACATGTACTAAAATTACCAAAACAAGGTGTACTACCAGCGGGAAGGCATGGTGGGGCGGGGGTGGTGTTCTTTTAGCCAAAACTGCCGTGTCTAGCGCTCACACACAGGTATTACACTACGAGTCAACAAAGTGCACACAAACATACAATGAATACATCCGGTTGTCCTATTAAAACTGCATTGAACCACTTTTTATACCTTTTAAGTGTTGAGAGCATCCCTCTGCTCATTGTTTCATGGGAACCTCTCTGTCTGCATCCATTCAGCTAGTTTGAGCAAGAAGTCCATTAACAGTCCAGGCTACCACCGTGCTGATGATCCAGGCGGTAATATCAGACATATTGATTTTTTTTTTAGTTTGTTTTAAACAGTCACCCGACTGATTTAAGATAAAATGATCAACAGTACCTCGCAAAGTCATTCATCTCCCCAGGTTACATAACTCCCTGCAAACACATGGCAGCACATTCGTTTGGGTTTTAAGTTCATAGAGTGGTGCAAATTAAAAGGATAAGGGTGTCTGATTTTTATTTTTTAAATGGATACAAAAAAAAAAAAAACCCTGGAAAGATTGGTTTAATTTGCATCTGCTCCTAATATTACTGCATAACAGTGGTCCAACGAGAAGAAAAGCTTAAAGAACTGCACAGTGGCATCTAATTGAGAATATGTGCTAAGCAAAAGTTGGTTCTATAAATCAGAGGGGCTGATTTAGCTCATTAGAAAAATCTATTCCTTCAATTCATGATTACAATCTTGCATAAATCCAATACATGTTTAAAAATTCAGGAGATATGAATTCTTTGCAAGGTACTGTAGTCTATCAGTAATAACCCTCATTAAGAATGATTTTTGCACTTCTTAGAAGTGACAAATGTAAATACTTCAGATTTGTATATTTATATATATATATTTTTTTAAATATGTACACAAGTACATGTTCTCTTTTCACGCAACACAGCGAGTCTGATTAGTATAGGTCCTTCAGTTCAAATCAGCATTTGGTTTCAAAAAGATAATTCCCACACCCATTAAAGGCTTCCCATAATTCAATATATACTGTATAGATATCAAAATTTCAAGTGTTAGTCAGAATAATTAAGCCCAATGTCTTAAAATAGCACTATCAAAATCCTATAATGCACTTGAGGAAGGCATTGCGTATTTATTTTGTAATTCACAATCCTTTTAAAATGACACAGTCTGGGTGAAGAAGGGGAACTGAGCCGAGGTCCGAACTGGAGACCCTGATTAGAAAGTTGGATGGGAGAGCGGAAACATGGAAAGAAAAACGCACACCAGACCCTGCAGGTCACGTTTTGGAGTTAAATGAGATTTTATGAGCCTGATGAAGAAACAAGACGGCTTCATTAATGAATGCCAGGACTGTTGTGATGGCAACAATCCTGGCTTTTAAAAATGATGTGAATGATGCGTTAATGGCAATGATCATTGGCTAAACCAAGACACAGCTTAATACCAGTGAGTTAGTATTCTACACACCCTGATGCTGAAGACGAGGTCATTTTAAGATCAATTTGTGTTCTGAGAATAGATATTAATAGCATCTGATAATTATCACAGATTAAGTTTGCATAGACCTAACCCTAACCCTCACCATCTGAAAAAAAATAAATTGAATGAATTGGAGCAGCATACCCAACTTCACTCTTTGTACCTACACTTGTGGCACCTTTAAATGTTCAATTTGGAACTTGTGAATCTTTATAAAACACAGAAAAGTTATAAAAAAAAATAACTAAATTGCTTATAGAGCATTAAGATCCAAACAAAGCTTTCAATTTACAGACTTTATTATACCCGTTAAAAAGTATACAAAGAGTGAAAGAGGGTATGTTCCAGAAATGTACTAAAACATTTGTCTGAAAGGAGACGCGTCCACATGTAAACATATGAGCTGTGGTGTGGTTCTGCACTTCTCTCTGACAGATGGAATAAAAAATAAAAGCCTAAAATATCATAGAAGCGTGGAGTCCCTGGGGGGAGTGAGGAGGGAAGTGGAGCTTTCTCCGCTTGGTCACGGGTTTCCTTTAGCTGGCGATTTTCTCAATTTCATCCAGATCGTCAGTGTCTAGTCTTTCGATTTTCTTATCTTTAGAAGGGAAACAAAAAAAAAACAAAAAAGAGCAGAGATTAGAGCAAGAAGTACACATGGATGAACAAGCAGAGGAGGAGAGGAGACTTACTGAAATGCTCCTGGATTCTGCTCAGGATGTTCATGCTCATCTTGCTGTCCACCATGTTGATGGCCAGACCTCTCTTCCCAAATCGGCCCGTGCGTCCGATCCTGTGGAGGTACGTCTCGTTGTCGGGGTTACCATCTTTGTCGACTGGCAAGTCAAAATTGATCACCACAGACACCTGCTCCACGTCAATGCCTGCATGAAAAAAAGAGGCAAAAGTTACATAAAGAAAAAAAAAATGAATAGTATAACCTGAACACCAAACTGTGCAGTGGCCTTCATCTCGTCTAAGTATAAATTGAATCTCTCCAGATTAAACCTACAGCTTGCTTTTCCACTCCATCCTCACCTCTAGCGCAGACATTTGTGGTCACAAGGACTTTCTCCTTTCCGTCCCGGAAGCGTTCAATTACAGCGGCTCTCTGCTCCACCTGCATTTCTCCACTAAGCAGCGCCACCTGATGGCCTTCTCTAGACAGCTCTCCTGCAAGCCAACCTGCAGTTTTCCTTGTCTGGATTGCACAGGGGGAAAAAACAGTGCAGTAGGAATTGGGCAAAGAAAAAGCTTGATTTTGGAAATAGCGATGCAAGTTTTCCACAGCATAAATTAAATCAATCTTATAATTTAGCAACAGAAATGTAAAATAAAATTACAGAATCGCATAAATCGATGACCCAAATGCGGTGACTGTAAGAAAATAAACTCACATGGCAGAAGATCATAGCCTGAGCGATGGTAATTGCTCCGTAGATGTTGCAGAGGGCGTGGAACTTCTCTTCCTTGCTGTTGCAGAGCACATAGTACTGCTTGATGGTGTCCAGCGTCTCCTCTTCTCTCTTCAGCTTGATGATGTTGGGGTCCGGCACGATGCGCTGAGCGAAGGACCAAACGCTCTCTTCAAACGTGGCTGAGAACAGCAACATCTGGCAGTTTTTGGGCAGCATCCTGCAGAA